GCGTTTTGTGAAGTATATATTAGTATAGTCAAATTAATGCAGGGAATCACCATAAAGTAATTTTTAATACTGCGCTAGTCAGAATAAAATATTAATAATAATTATGTTCACTATTGCTTGAAGTAAAAATATATATCATAATAAACTGTGAGAGTTTTCGAAGTCCATTCAAAAGAAGACTTCTTTTAATGATAGTTTGAAAAAGTTTGTTTTTAAGTTCTTTAATTCATGTTTTTAGTAAACAATTTAAAAAATTAAAATATTTTAGCATTTATTTTAACAAGACTATATTAAATGTCTAAGGTAATGTTATATATAGATAAACAACATTTTAAATTTTAATTACATTTTAAAAGAAGTAGTATTTGCTTATTAAATTTGTTAGATACAAAGAGACAACATACAAAAAAACAATTATATAAAAAAATAAAATAAAAAAACATACGTTAGATAAAAATAATAAAATTATTTATTATTAATATTCAATAGTCCAGTGATTTAATGGGAGTGTCAGTAAAGTATATGTTTTGTCCATTTTGTTGCATTCTACTTCATTGGCTTTAATCTGTAGTGATTAACTTCATCATAACTAAAAATACTTTTCAAGGTAAAATTAAAAAGTATAAAAACTTTTATGGAAAATATATTTATCCAAAGTAGTGATAAAATATACGAAATGATGAAGTAATCATATAATTACAGTTATTGAAAGTCCACAAACGGAACTAACGGAATTAAAATATTAAATATATTATTTAAATATATACTATATTAAATTATTATTATATTAAATGTATAAATACATAATTCTTCCTTCCTTTATAAATCGGGTTTTATTAAGTGACCTAACTAAATTCCTAACTGTAGACGAATTATTAACATACAGTAACCATTAAGATATATCTTATCGATGCTCTTATTCTTCTTTCTTTATTAAAGGAAGGATGTTTTTTAATTATAAGACTTGCCGTTGACATAATTTTTTGTGTTTGTTTAGTGTTGTGCATAGATGCCATTAAGAGATTCTTTTGGTCTTATTATTATTATTATTAGAGTAACATATGTAAAAATTAAAAAATTAATGAATGATATTAGTATTTCCACAAAAGGTTTCTATCTATCCATCTATATTGAGCGCTATGGTTCTCAACTCCACAGACAATTTATAGGTTTCTCTGCTTATCGTCTTGATACATTGATTTTATGGCTGTCCTTTTCTTTTACGCATACTGTTCTATCATAGTACGGTATATATCGTATTTATTGCCTTTGTTACTGTCTGACGTATCTACATATATTTTCGTTTCCGATGGCCTAGAGTTCAATTCAGCTCCAAAAATACTTGTCGCTTATAGTATGTTAAAAATTGGAAGGATTCGACGCAGATTTCTGATCCATTTCGTTACTGACCGTCCATGTTGCTTTGGAATCGTATAGTAAATCTTTTAAAAATTTATAGTTGAGTTTTCATATTCGCATTAACAAGTGTTCTTTTTGCTATACACTAGTGTTTACCAAAATCAAATGCGGTTTCCCGATTTATTTCGCATACTATCAAAATATTTAAATTAGTAGAAATTTTTTATCTTCGCTGTTAATTTGACACTCTACATCATCATTAGCTTTAATAAACATTATTCCCTGCATTAGGGTTAAGATCCACAAAAATACACTCTCTCTACTACTGATCGATTTGTTTACGTATTGAAATGGCAATAAGTTATAATACGTTATACCAGGTCAGCATCTTATATGAGAAGACTGTGATTTGTACTGCATATCCCAGTGTACTACTAATTGCTACCTATTTAAAATTTGAGAACTGCATCCACAATAGTTATAAGGACAAGAAAGGGAAGATATCCTTTTCTTTCCCACTAAACGATTCGAATGTCTCATTCAGAGGTTTTTTGTAAGACTTTTCACTGAGAGCTTCCGTTAAAAGGCTGCCAAACTATTGTTTATTATTTTAAGAATTTTTTAGGTATATCTCTAGCGTTTAGTACTATCTATGTAAAGTCTTTTCTTTAAAACGTCTAATATTCAAATTAATACAACAGAAATGTAGTGCTCAAAATTGGTGTATTTTGAAGATTCTTTCAGTACATATTTAAGAACAAAAATTATTTAAACGACAATGTACTTCAAATACTTTAATTTCTTATTAAATATTACTTCTTAATATTTTTAATAATGGATTTATAATACAAAAAATGCTTGATGATGATCGTTAATATCAAAATACAAATATAAATCATAAAAGGTTTAATGTTAAAAACATTTCAAATAATAATAAAAGAATTTTATTTGAAAATAACTCGTTTTTAATATTATTAATAACATTTTTGTAACTTTACGCTATGCAAACCGTAACTTGCAATCTCCGTTTTTAATGGACAGTGAATAAATTAAAAAACTGCTATTAACATAGAGTAAATATATTCGTACCATGAATAAAATGGGCACTTAAACCCGTCTAGTAACTGCAATGTCTGTTATGGAAATATTTACCTTATACATATGTAAAAAGAATTTAAAGAACTTGTTTGGAAAAATACACAGCATCAACACAAAAAAAAAAATAAAAATAAAAACATAATAAAAAAATAACAAAACTAAGAAAATTAATTTGAATTCATAGTAAAGTAGATATTTGCTATAAGAAAATATATCAGCAGCAGCCATAACAACAACAACAACAACAACATTAACAAAAGTAACTAAATAAATTGAATAGCTTTTGGAACCAACAAATCTCAACATTGGCAACAAGTTTTAAGCTCAAGGTTGCCACAGAGTTGAGTTGATATTCGAAAGGAAAAAATAAAACTTGACTCAGTTTTACATTGATTTTTTGACAGCATCAGAATCAACGGCAAAAGTATCTTTTCTTCATTGCTGCTCTGGCGATAAAAAGTCCACAGAGTCAAAGACACTTGAGATGCGCCTAAGAAAAATTCGCAAATAAAATTTTCGGTTAAAAAGATTTTGACGTTTCGACACCATTTCACCGCAAACAACCGAAAGCAAATAAAAAATTGATTTTTTGATAAAAAAATAAACAAAAAAAAAGTGTGTAAAAAATCGTAAATATCAAAAAGTGAAAAATATGCAAATTTGAATTAAAAAATTTCCAAAAAAAATTTAAAAATTTTTTACGTAGAATGCGGGGTTAAAAATCTTCAGGTCTTCATATGATTTAATAGTGTGAAGGTGTGTGTGTGTTGAAGATTTCTAATTTTTTATTTATTTATTTATTTTTTTTGTATCAAAAACGTTAATTAAAAAGTTAACAAAAACGCGCTGAACGTCATAACGAAGTAAAAATATGCGAATTTCATTTTCTTGGTCAAGAGATCGTCTGGATCGGCCGTTAATATGGCTAACGCTTTGCTGCGCTCTGTGGTTGCTGCAATTAAGAGGGGCAAAATGTCAGAGCCTGAATCAACCGCCACATTTTGTGGCTGGTACCGGTGACATGTCACGCTTCAGTCTATCGGAAAACACACCAGTTGGCAGTCCTGTCTACCAGTTAAGAGGTAAGTGAAGAGTTGCTTCCGGTTTGAGAGTTTCGTAAGGGTGGGATATGTGGGCATTTTTTTGAAAAAATGTTAAAGTTAATCAAAATTTTTTATGAACATTAAAATTATTAATTTTAAATTAATAAAAAATTTTTTACAATCAAAAGGCCCATAAAATCAAAATAATATAGATATAGTAAGATATGTAGAAAGAGTATAAGCATAGAAAGTACAGAAAAAAATTAGTGGTTAATATTGAATGTACTTAAGCATTGAAATTTATGAAAATTATAATAATTTTAGTTGATTTGAACTGAGCATACTAACATCAAGATTAATCTGACTCAGTTAGTACAATTCTGCTGAACTATTTTTTGTTTCATAACGGTCAAAAAACAATAAATATTAAGCGCATAGAGGAATTTGTTCTCTTGAAAACATGTACAATGTTTAGTTTTCATATTAAATAAGTTGATAATGTGATTATATACCTTTGTTTTCGATTCTGTGGTATATGTTAACAAAATCAAGTGAAAATGAAAAAATATTCAGGATATGTTTTCAAATATCCAAAACAGCATTACAAAAGGATTAAAAAGTAGAATTTAAAGAATAAAGAGATTCGCAAACTTTTTATAAGCTTAGAGCTTAGAGAAAGATAATAATAATGATAATAATAATAATAATAAAACAGTTTAAGATAAGTAAAGAATGATACGAGTATAAATTAAAACAGAGAGAAGAAAATATAAAGAGTGGCAAGAAAATATTAGAGACGCCAAGAACATTACAAAGGTAAAGAGAGTAAAAATTTTAAAATGCTGGATAGTGAGTAGAAACAGGAGATCGAAAAACAAAGGTGTTGTGATTAAAGAAAGTAGATAAATCTATAATAAATAAGACTGATATGCGAAAATAGACGTTATGAAAGGGAGTTATAGTTATGTTTATTAAAAGTTTAAGATCAACAACGACAACTTTGTTGTAGAACGAGAATTTCTAGACAATGGAGGATTTAAGCAAAAAGAATTTTAAGCAATATTACCTGTTATTTGTGTTATTTACCACTGGGAACCAGGCATTATATGTGCTTATAATTTCCAAAAGTCATTCTAGAAGATAAGTGCCATTTTAGTTATGCTACTTTCATTGCAAATGTTCGAATTATTTTTCAAATAAAATTTCTTTTCAAATAAGATGTATAACTAGAAACTATGATTCAAGAAAATAAAATAACAAGGTTTTATAAACAGTATTTTAAAATTTATATATAGATATATATAATTGAAACATACATACGTGTTTTTTCTTAATTATTTTACATAAATCTGCACAAGTAGCTGCTTTTTTGTTTTTATATTTTTTTTGTGTACTTTTACGGAATGTAAATAATACTGAGAAAAATTGTACGACGACGACGTCACAAAATAAAAGTATAGATACTGTTGTAAAAATAAGTATATAAATGCAGATATGACAATTTTAAATAGCACTCTTTATTTTGCGCTTAAAAAATCTGTAACATGATTAATGATTACAGTAAAATATTACGATTGAAAAATTAAACTAAAATTTACTTACCTTTGTCTAGCAATCACAAACAAGAAAAGAGAGAAAATGAAAAACGGAAATGTTACTAAAAATTTCGAAGTCTCCAAGTCAGCTGTTTGTCATGATTGCCAGACAAAGGTTTTTAAATTATTCGCAATTTTCGGCAACATTCTCCTCCCCGCAGGCGACCCCAATGTCGTTTGCGTCAACTTTGCCGATATCCAGAATGGCCAGCTTTACGGCAGGGCGCTCCAAAAAGCCTTTTGTTGTTTTGACCTTAGCTCGTCTTACTTGGCCGTCTTTCGCTACAGTTGTCTCGATAACTATGACTTTTACCCAAGTATTTCTCTTAGCCGTTTCATCAACTATCAGCACAACGTCTCCTACCGTAATGGGTTTCACTTTATTGAACCATTTGCCGCGACGCGTTAATGTCGGAAGTATCTCACGCACCCATCGTCGCCAAAATTGATTTGCAAACATCTCAGATTGTAGCAGGCACATCTTTGGATCGATTCTCTTAGCATCACAAAATAGTTTCAAACCACTAGCGCTCCCCAACAAGAAATGGTTTGGAGTTATTGGATCCTCATCTTCACTATCGAGTGACACGTAGGTTAAAGGACGCGAGTTGATGATCATTTCAACTTCAAGTAATGCAGTACGTAAACTTTCATCCGTAAAACGTTGAGATGGCGAAATTTGATACAGCACTGTCTTAATTGTTCTTATCAGTCGCTCCCACGCTCCTCCCATATGTGGTGCTGCCGGCGGATTAAATTTCCAGTCTATTCCTTGATGAGCTAGCTTGTGTTGCATAACCGAGGAATCAATGTTCTTTAACTCCTTTCTTAAAACGTTCTCGACACCGTGAAAATTCGTTGCATTATCGCTGTAGATGGTGATAGGTTCTCCTCGTCTGGCAATAAAATTTCTTAAACACATTAGGCATGAGTCAGTACTAAGACTATGGGCGATTTCGATGTGAACGGCTCTGATAGTCAAACAAGTTATTATAACACCCCACCTTTTCAGTGCTTTGCGATTCTCAATAACCACCATTGGTCCAAAATAATCAATACCCACATGAGTAAATGGACGTTGAAAAGCTGCTAGTCGTGCTGGGGGAAGTAAGGCCATTTGCGGCGCTTGAGGTATTGCCGATGAAATTTTACATACGTTGCAGTTTCGTCGCATCGATTTGAATAATGGTCTTAATTTTGTTATGAAATACAATTGTCTGACCTCATTTAAAGCAGTTTCATGTTGGATGTGATAAAATCGTTCATGATAGTGCCCACATATAAGGTACGATACTCTATGTTTTGGCGGTAAGAAAATAAAATCAGTTTGAGGTTTACACTCATTCGTAAAGTTACTCGCTCTGTTTTTTACTCTTATGAGCTCATTGTTATCCATATACACCTGCAACCTATATAACGGACTGTTCCTTTCTATTATTCTCCCCATTTTCAGTGTCGACCAATCTTCAAGTAGTTCCTGTTGCACGCTTTTGTATATTAAGAGCTTCGCGCGCTCAATGTGTTGAACAGTCAAAATAACGTTTGTAGCATTGAAACCGCCACAACGAGCCTTTAGTTTCCCAATGTAGAGTAGCCAATTTGCAACGGCACGGTACAACTTGATCCAGGATGAAAAATATTCATAATTGAAACATGGTTGTGTCTCGCGATGATATAAAAATTTTGCACGAGTTTCACTGGTCTCCATCGGACCTAAGTCCACCTCAGTTGGCCATTTATCCTCGTCTTGTAGCAAAAATTCTGGTCCTTCGACCCACCGCTGCACATATTCGGGACTTTGTTTTGTTTTCGTTGCACTGTCTGCAGTATTTAATTTCGTGGGTACCCATCTCCACTCTTCGACGGTTGATGCTTCTTGAATTTCTGCAATGCGAAACATTACGAATTGTTGAAATTGACGTGGATCACCACGCAACCACTTTAGCACCGTTTTGGAATCGCTCCAAATGAAACGCTTTTTAATATCAAATGTGTGTACTTTACATATTGTATTCATAAGCCGTGTGCCAATTACAGCAGCTTGTAGCTCCATTCTTGGAATAGACATTGGTCGCATTGGAGCGACTTTGGTTTTTGCTGCTACGATCCTCGTACTTACTCCATATTTATCTTTAATGCGGAAGTATGATACAGCTGCATAAGCAAACTCACTCGCATCTACGAATGTATGAATTTGTACATCACATGAACTTTCTGTAATGTATGGTGAATAACAACGGGGTACAGAAATATTAGCAAAAATAGGCATGCAGGCAACCCAAGCTAACCACTTGCCCATAAGATCGGGTACCAGTGGTTGATCCCAGTCGATTCCGCTTCTCCAAATATCCTGAATAAGTATTTTTAAATATGATGTGAGGCAAGCTGCCAGTCCCAATGGATCAAAAATGGACATTAAAATTTGAAGTACTTCTCTTTTAGTGGGTACAATTTCATCTGCAAAAACATTACGACGTAAACGAACGAATTTTAAAACATATTTAAAGCAATCTGACTTCGGGTCCCAATACATGCCGAGAATTTTTTCGATCGGAAGTGTGTCGATATTATTATCAAACGACTTACCCGTCTGTTCACCATTTTCGTTTAACGCAGCTAAAACTTCTGGTGCATTACTTGTCCAGCTTCTCATATGGAAACCACCTTGTTCATGTATGTTGCGAACTGCCTCGGCTAATGCTATTGCTTGTTCAATGGAATTTGTTGAATCT